GTGTTTGACATTACGACAAATTAGAGACGTTTGCTAAATCAAATAAATATACGTAATTTAAGAGGTAATAAAAAAGAAATTACGTAATATATAGATGCAAGATTAGTGGAGCAACCAAAATTCAGCAGACCGACCAAAATTTAGGGTCGGAATATGCCTGGAGATAGGCCGGGATTAAGCAATAATACAAGCCATCTATATTATATTATCTGGGCAGCTTTATTTAGTACGTGGGCTACCATTTCATTAGTAAAATTTTGGGTGATTTGGGGAGAAATTTATCATTCTGACCCTAAATTTTGGTCGATCTGCTGAATTTTGGTTGCTCCACTAATCTATCCTAAGTGTGCATCCCCTTACAATCATCGAAAATTTTTAATTTCTTGAGCCACATGAACAGGATGTCATCGGCTTGTATATAACGATAAGGTTGTGTTACATAAATTACAATTTTACGTACGTACGTACGTTAAGTTAAATTTTCTGTAATTTTTATCACATCATAGTATTATTGTATCATTTGACTTGAATGTATGATCCAAATTATAACTCCTAAATCACCGAAATTTGATCTCAGAAACTAAATGTCATGCGTTCAAAATTACAATTACATGAAAATCGATTTACCCGAAATTTACGCAAAAATACGTAAAATCACGCAAAATTTCAGTAATTTTACATCCCTACTTGTATACAGCCCCTCTAAATGTAAGTCTTCACTTGGGCCCAACTAATATAATACGGATTTCTATTTCCCTAGATGCAATACCTCTCTAAATGCACGTTTGACTAAATTTTTACAGTCACAATGCATTTAGGGAGGACATAGAGGTTCTTAATTTTTTTTTTTTTATCATGGAGAAAAGAAATGACTCATGAGTAACGAAATAAAAAATTGGTCGATTCTCTATTTTTATTAAGTGTAATGAAAACTGTCTTTGTTATAATCCATTAAATTGTTTTCTTATATAACAAAGAAACAATGGTTATGGATTTGTTTTAGTTTCCATCAAAGGTTTCAAGCTTCGTGCCAATGTTTCATAGAAAACCTTTTTGTCACTTAGAGTATAGGATGGGTTTTGTCCAATCAATATTCGCATTAATTCGATTTGATTCGTTACGTTATCTTTCTTACTTACATTCTGAATGGATGCAGGAACAGAAAGATAACGATCATAATCTCCACCTTTCAGCTCTAATCTTAGTGCTTCTTCTTCTTCTTCTTTGCTCTCTAAAGTAACTTGTGAACTAATAAAATTTGTCCAATTAATGTCTTCCACAATAAATTCCTTTGCTTGAATTTGTTTCAAATTATCCATATGTTTATGTTGTTTTTTTTTCAAAGCTGTTGACCGCAAATTAGTTCTCGCTCGCGTATCTTTAAAATTTCTTTCACCACCATAGTTTGATAGGTCTCTCTCATTACTTATTAATTTTTCGGACAAAGTTTGTAATGCCTCGCGTTCCTCTTCTGCATCTTCAAACTGACCAGGCTGAGGAATTGTTTTTTTTT